GATCCAGAAATTGAAATTGAATTGATTTAAGCTGCAGATTGTAACATCAGTTTTCAGCACATGACAGAATTTTGAGCTCTATGATTGGATGCACCTTGGTAGGAGTTATCTTCTCTTTTTCTCATTTTACTTTATTTTTCTATGTGCACACAGCCTTGTATCTTTAGTTTTTCTCTCAAATAACCAGTTATATTCCAGGAGAGTGTCATGACTTCATGTCTTGTAACATCGTCTATGGAAAAAATTAATGGGACTTTTACTTCTGGAACCGGAGGCGGCAAAAATATCTCCTCCCACTTCACAACTCTCTTCAGTCCTACTCAGACTTTGAAAAGTTCTTTCCAGGGCCACAGAAGACGTTAGAAACTGTTTTCTCAGGCTGAGTATTATGAGTCGTAGCATCTGAATACATCCTCCACCCCTGGATACCATGCCCACTCCAGCATGCTAATCTGCAGGATGGAGACAACACTGTATGTTGATATACTATCCAGTCAGTCCAGAGGTGAGTGGGGCGCAGGTCAGAGTGTAAGCAGGTGGGTGTGACGCTGCTGTCATCAGGCGGGTGTTTTTAAGTATGGGGTTTTTATTTTTGAGTGTGGGGCATCTCTGTGAGAGACAGCCCTCGCTGTGGCCCTCCAGGACAGGAGTCGTCCACCTCATGGTGGAAGGAAAGCGCTCAGTGGGGGTTTGGGAGCGTAATTACAGCAGTTTTGCCTCATTAGGAGTGAGGAGGCGTGACCCTGCCTACAGGTCTGACAGCTGAACTGCACGGATGGCGGCGCTGAGAGATGATCTCAGGGATCGGTGCATAGTCCTGCTACATGTGTGTATGTTTTGTCCAGTGTTGGAAGATGTATTTACATCCTTTACTTGAGTGATGTAGTGACACTGCAATATAAAAATACTCAACTACAAGCACAAGCCCTGCATTTAGTACAGATCAGCGTAATGTGTGTGAAGCATCAAAAGTACTCATTAGGCAGAAAACAGCTCCTGTGACTGTTAAATGATGTCGTAGCTCAGCAGGTGCCAACCTGGGGGAAGGGATTCCTCAAAGGATCACAGGGTAAATCTGAGGGGCCACATGATGATTAAAGGGATACGTTTAAAAATCTGTTACAGAAATGTGTTTGTATTTCCTTGCTTTTCTCTAATGTATGTTTTTCTTGTGAAATACTGGATACGTTCACCTCCTCAGCCTCTAAACATCCTTTACATACATGAAATTCTTGATGCCTTTACCTCCTACAGATTCTTAACATACATAAAATACCGGATACTTTCAATTCGTCACACTTCTAAAAGTCCTTCAAGTACGACAAAGCCAAGATGGAGAATTCATTGGGTTAAAAACTGACCCATACAACTTTACCAATTGGTTGTTTTGACATAGAGTTAGTCTTATTATTATTTCTATGGCTGTTGGGTTGTTTACACAAACTAAAACATGTGTTCAAAATGACTTTCAAATCAAGTTTATTTATATAGCACATTTAAAAACAACCACAGTTGACCAAAGTTCTGTCCAAATTAAAAAAATGACACACAAATATATAGCAATAAAACATGTACACAAATAAAGAACTGAATAACACTGGTAACATCAATTACATACATAAAAATATAATAAAATATTAAAATATTAAACCACCAAGAGCAACCAAATGCCCATGAAAACATGTGCATCTTAAGATTTGTCTTAAAAGCATCACTGGAGGGGGAGCATTTAATTGAGAGGTGGGGATTAATCCAAAGCTTTGGAGCAGCTACTGCAAACCTGAGAACAATCAGATACACAGATTGACTTTAAAAAGAGCTTCAGTAGATTAGAACAGTTCACAAACATATTCTAGTTTGGGTAACTAAGTCAAAACACAACACTAAAACTGGGTCAAAACAACCCATTGTCTGAGGCTGTTTCGTCCTATCAGTACAGGATAAGTTAACCCAGTGCTGTGCTGGTGCTTGAGCCAAATTGGGTCAGTGTGACCATATTAATTTCACTAAGAGCCTCAGTTAAACAAAGTGGCTTCATTTTAAGGGGTCACACACCAAAAAGGTTTGGAAACACTGCTGTTGCTGGTTGAAGTCAGCTAATTTTAATTTTATTTATATTCTCTTGGGTCGTTTAATCTATACTAACACTTCATATTCGATGAGCTGATATGTTGCTTTTATAAAATCAACATCTGCAAAGTAACTAAAGCTGTCAGATTAATGTTGTGGAGTAAAAAGTATAAAACAATAAAGTATTAGCATAAAATCAAAGTGTTTGTTATTTATCAATCTGGATTGTTTTGCGGTGGAGATATCAGCCGTAGAGATGTCTGCCTTCTCTCCAACATAATCGAACTAGTTGGCACTCTGCCAAAAAAATAAATTTGAAAAACTCAACAGCAATGTCTCTTTCCAGTAATCATGACCTGGTTACTCAAGATAATCCACAGACCTTGTTGTGAGTGAATTCATGTAGTTTCTATTAATCTACATCTACCGACTGTATCACAGTGCAGAAGGAAGTGCACATGACCTCATTATGGATGTATGAAGAGAACTGGATGCAGCTTTGGAGGCGGAACCTGGGGAAAGTTGCTCGGTGGCACATGAAGCCAAAAAAGCTCTACTTCCATATTATGAAATAAATCATACAATAAGTTGGATCTTCTGATATTTCAAGTGCACTTAAGACTTGTAGCATTCGAGCAACTAACTTCTGATTTAGCTCTCCGCTAACTTCAATGGGGTTAAAATGATTCAACAGTCTCTTTTAGATTTTTGGCATGTTATCAATGAAATGGATCAAATCCTAATAGTGAAACGGGTCATTTTGCTGGGGCTGTAAACCTAAAATAAATGTATCTACTGATTTGCAGACGTCTCATTCACAGTGTAAGTCTATGGGAAAAAGTCTTTTGGCCCAATGGCATCAGGTGATAGACCCAGAAGTTGTAGTTCCACATTTGGCCACTATGTCAAATTAGCTACAAAGCCTGGCGCTGCTCCTCGGGGCTTGCTATTAGCAAACAAGAGGCTCGCACTCGTAACAGCTCAAGATATAAACATTAATGGCATCCTCCTTGGGTGAGCTGAAATGTTACCTAGCTCAGTGATGCCAAGTGAGTTAGCAGTAGATGCACACTTCCTTCTGTGTGGTGATATGGTTGGTGGGTGTAGTTTGGTATGAAGAAAATCCTACATGAAACTGCTCACAACAAGGTCTGTGGATTATCTTGAGTAACCAGGTCATGATTTCTGGAAAGAGACATTGCTGTTGAGTTTTCCAAATGTATTATTTTGGCACTTTGAGCACCACAAGCTGAGTGCCATCTAGTTTCATTATATTGGAGAGAAGGCAGACATCTCTACGGCTGATATCTACAACACTCTGCAACTCACACCAAAACAATCTAGACTGATGAACAGCACTACAGGTAAGAAGAAGAATATCTATCTTTGATTTTTGGGGTGGACTGTCCCTTTAAGTACCTTAAATACTGTACTGAAGTACAGTTGCTACATGAGTTAAACTATTACTTTGTCATATCCACTTTTTTAACAACAGTACACTGGGTACTGGTGTCTGAAACCAAACCTTTCAAAATAAGAGCAGTGCGTGTTGAGATGTTTCCTCCCCTGAGGGATGGATGGGGGAGCCCTGCAGCTCATCCTGCAGCAGGCCAGTCCTGAGAGAAGACACAACACGAGACCAAATGATGAAATGAAATGAAATAACATGCAAAGAGGCCTCGGCCATTCAAACCCCACCACCCCTTAGATACACACACACACACACACACACACACACACGAAAACACATGTGCGTTGAGTGGATGTGTTCATCGTTCAGTCGGGGTGGGGCTTTTCTTTTTTGTCCAGCATGCCGTTGTCTGAGTCAGGATGGAGAGATGAGGACGGGGCATCCCACTCACCCTCTGCACGGCCGGAGACACTGCTGCGCTGCTGTCATGGCAACAGCAGCAGTCACCACCGCCAGCATGGGCCTATAATGCACAGGCCAGGAGGAGTCACACACACACGCACACACACACACACACACACACACTGAGAGCACGACACAGGACCCAAATCCAAATCCTAAATGTGTGCAGTTTGTTTTTTCTTTATATAAAAGTGACAGGAGAACCAATTCGATTCTTATTTGTTAAAATGATTTTTAATTTCATTTTTTTTCTGTTTTACTGAGATAGATGTATTGTTGAGATTTTAAATCACCCAAAGCGTCACAAGAGAGACTTATTTACTAAAAAATATTGGGTTGCAAACAAATATAAACTATCTTTTTTTTAGCTAGGCCTATTTTTTTTTCTATTTGCAAAGAAAAGTTACACAATTTATTTAGGGTGGCATCACCAAAACACAAAAATCCACATTAGGTAGGCCTGAATTAACCTTTTATATGAGTCCTTTACAGATTATTTTTATGGGGTTGTTTGAGGTTGTTTGCCTCGTGACTGTAACTATTTAACCCACGTTATATTTATCTACACATCTCTGTCTGTCTGTATCTGCAGAAAAAAAGTGTTTCCGAAACAAAAGGAAATGGTGTAGGCTAATCAGTGTTTTCTAGCATCTTCTCCAGATAGTATAAATGTTTTCTGCCCCCACCCTCTTTCACCTTCCTCGTCTCCAAATCGGACATTTTCTCCCTGCGTCTTGTTGCAAACCGCAGCCAGGCTTTGCTGCAAATTACCAGTGTGATGCAGATATTAGTGTATGTGGGATTTTTTTTACGGGATAGAAAGAGCAGACAGTGCAGGCGCGATTCACATTCAAACAGGTGTGAGGAGCAGAAACAATCCCAGGTGGCGCATGTTGATCGGATATGTGGCCACATTGAAACACACTGAGAGCATCTTTGCGCCTTTTTTAAGGGTTGAGCAACCCGCATCCGAGAATAGTGTTGGCTGTTAGAAAGTAGGTCGATAGGAACTGAGAGCGACGTTTGTTTCCACGCTTTTGTCTCTGTTCTTTGTTGTTTAGCGAGGACTGTGGGGTTTTTTTTTCATAGCCTACCCTTTGGTGGAGAGCGTTTTACGCACAGGTGGGAGATACCCGCTCAGCGTACTGTAGGACAGCCCCCCTCTCTGCTCCTCAGCGGATGATGTGAGGAAGTGACATTTCTCACCGCTGCGGTTCGGGACAGCACTGCTCCGCTGCAAACAGGTGTGCTACCGTCCGGGTCACTTCTGCTGGGAAGCCACTGAGAGGCAGCGTCCCAAAACCGGAACCAAGCATCCTTGACGCGGGACAGCGGGGACCAGAGGAGGAGAATCAACCCGGTCAAGCCTTTATTAGCCTGGGCTGTTTGAACGGGTTCAGACACACAGAGAGAGGAGAGAGGGAGGAAGTGTGAGGGAGAGAGGGAGCGATGGCAACGAAAAAGGCGTGCGTGGATGCGCCCAAAAGGAGCCGGAGTCCGGTCGTGTTGGAGGCGGAGATGTTCAGTGAATTTCAGGACTGGTGTCTCCGGACTTATGGAGACTCGGGTAAAACAAAGACCGTCACCCGGCGAAAATATAACAAAATCATGCAGACACTGTTGCAGAACGACGAGTCGGATGGCGTTTATATCGACAACAGCCACATCAACGCCAAATTCAAATTTTGGGTGAAGTCTAAAGGATTTCAGGTCGGGACCAACGTGCTGGGAGAGCACAACAAGAAGGGAGCTCCAGGGAAACCCGTCCTATATGTCCCGGTCAAGTCAACGGTAAAGTGTGTGCGTGTGTATGTGTGTGTGTGTGTGACAGAGAGAGAACGTGCGTGCTCACGCGCACGAGCTGTCCCGTTGCCGCCTCGCCTATAAGTTGTCATTATTCCCAGCTGCACACACGCACCTGTCACATGAATAAAACGACAACTTATAATCTTTTGTCGTCCCGGCTCGCCCTCGTCTTTCCTCATAAAGCTTCACTTTGTCCACATCCCAACCAGAACAGCCCTACTCTCATCCCTTGCTGCCATAGCAACGCCGGTGCCTCCTGGCAATAGCAATTGTAAAAAGGTAGGCTATCATGCATAGCCATCTCGACAGTGAGGTTGAAGTCCTGTCAGCGGCGCGCTGCCGGGCGCAAAGCACGAGATAATTGACTATTGACAACGTTTAGTTTGAACCGTGTTGTTCAGGGTCTCGTGCAGCCCGATGTGGTGATGCTGCGCGCGCGCGCGTGGATGCAACGGCATGTTCGTGGGTCGGGTATGTCAGGGTGCTCCGGTGCGTGCTCCCTGATGGACCACAGGCCATTAACGCCAACTTAGATAATGTGTGATTCACCTTTCTGCTGTGCGACTCAGCAGGGCTGATTGTCAGCGATTCATCAAATGACACGCGCCCTCACTGTCCCGTCGAGCAAACCGGACTGTGTCGCGTGCGTCGGCGAGATTCATTTGTCTTAATTTGAGGGAGCAAAGATGTGGTTCAGAAATACTCATATGTCTGTGTTTTTAATAAAAATGCGAATGTGTGGCAGACAGTCTGAGTCTCAGTGTTTGCACCCCACTTTTCATTGTCCTGGGCAGGATGCGGATCGGCTCGCAGGCACTCGTTGCTCTGGCAACACCTGTGTAGTCCAGGATAGCCTGCCTCTGCCGCATTTCATTGTGTACGTTATTAAGCCCCATAAGCCCGTTTAAGACTGTGTTTGCAAGGGAAACATTTTAAAACGATTCCCTACATTTGATGGGGGGTTGAATCTGTGCGTAATTGGTGACCACGTGAGGGGCTGTGGCGGAAACAAAAGGGTCTGCTCGGGACTGATAGCGACATACGCCCACAGTTCAGACTTCACTTCTCCATGTCTCCGGATGAGAGGGTGAGGTATTTATTTAGTGTGGCGGAAGTCAGGTCACCATCATACTCTGAGCATCACTGAGGCTGCTGGTGCGTGAAGGGTTAAATCACACATTCTTCTCCAGGATAAACATGTACACGGTGAACTGTCAGCAGTGCCCCAGTGGCTCTCTTTGAGGTGCACGCGCACGCACCATGTCTCTGTATGGTGTTTGGGCCTGCTGTGCCAGAAAGGAGACAACCACCATTTTAAATAAGCGCCTTCAGGGAGTAATCTCCCCCCACCCACCCTGCTGGGGCCGAGTCTCTCTGGACCTCAAAGAGCAGAAACACATTTTCTCTTCACAAACTGGAGGAGATATTGGCACCGATTACTGCCTGAATGCTTTGATTTTGGTTTGAATGGCGCTGATCCCTCCACAGGTGTTATACCTGTGTGAATGCACGGTTTAGATTTAGGCCAACTGCCTTTACAAAACTCCTCTAATCTCCACTCAAAATTATGTTTCCCTCTGGGCACAAGGGCAGGTGTGATCTGTCTCTGCAGGTGCAGATGGTGCCTGAAATGTGTTGTTGATTAGCTTCTGTCTGTGGCTCCTGTCATTTCTCCTTGATATACATCCTTATGTCTCCTGTTTGATATATATTATCGATATCACATCCTCCAGGTGAGCGTGGTTTCTTTGTCAGGCCCATTTAAGATGAAGTAATTCTCTGAGGTCTGTTTAAACCATCGGAGAGAAAGTCTGACTGAAAAAGTATCTATTGGAGAGGAGTGCACACGCTTGGTAGCTAATATCATAAGGGAAAGCATCCCCCTGACTCAGCTCCACTTGAGAAAATTCAAACAACAAACAAAACATCACAAGCTGCTTCTAATGATGAGTCAGAGGCAACAAATCAACCTATTTAAATGCATTTGACTGGCTTTTTTTAATTCACTGTTCGCAGGCTTTATAAATAGGCCGTCCTGGGCCAGTGGAAAAGTGACACACACACACGAGCAGACGTACACACACACACACACACACACACACACAATGGTCACTGCCTCCTCGTGCGGCTGCAGGGCCGGGGGCGTGTCTCTGGAGCTCCAGCATTGGAAGCCCCGCTGCAGCTGCTCCCAGGGTGTGCCAAGTTTCTGTATGGGGGCAGGCATGGGGCTAAATGACGGGAGGCTGGGTGGGGGTAGGGATGATGGTGGCTGATGTGCAGACAGAGAAGGTCTCTTCTATGTGTCAGTGAAGCATACAAGGCTGCTTCAGTGTGTGACGGGACAGAGACGCGGGGCACCAGTGGCTCAGTCTCAGCGTGGACGCCTTCTTTTCAAGACATAGAATTATGTTCTGTTTTCTGTCCGTCTCTGTCCTCCCAGCTCACGTCGTCTCGCCCTCTTTCTGCACAACTCGGAGGATCCAGCAGCCCTCAGTGTGGAGATGCAACCTCGTTTAGCTCTCATTATGTCCTGATTAGAGGACGCTACAGAGGAGGAGGGGGAAAAGGACCAGAAACAGACACAGAGATACACCACAGAAATTGCACACGATGTGAACACACTTCCCCGAGACGAGGGGAGTCAGAGTGCAGCCAGTTCTCAAAAGGAACGCTTAAACGCCCCGTGCATTTCCTTTCGGCTGACATGAGCATTGTACTGAAAATTTTGAAGTACTGCGAGCTGTTGCTTTTTGTTGCCATGCCAACTGAAATCTGTAAATATCTCTGTTCGTCTCTCACAACTAGGTTTTGGTGGACACGCTCTCACACACAGACACACTGGCTATATATAAACTACATATATATATATATATATATATATATTCATGTAACTGTTCAGAGACACTTAACATGATGTTTAAAAGTAAAACTTGAATCGTGTTCACTGGTGGTCACAAACTAAAGTTATAAAGGTGTATACCTTCATATTTCAACTCATATGATTGGTCCCAAACCTTCATTTACAATCTATCAGGCTGAAAATAAAGAAGCGTCCCAAAGCTGAGACGATTAACAGTTGAGCAGAAAATGAATCTGCAACTGGAGCTGCAGCTAACAATTTATCATCGATCGAGCTGTTGAATATTTTCTCGATTTGGTCCACGAAATGTCAGAGCACAGTGAAAAAAGTCCATCACAGAATCTCAAAGCTCAAGGTGATGCTTTCAAATGTCCTCTTTTGTCCAAAGAACAGTCCAAACATATCAAGGTGAAGGTTTTGATTCAACATTGTGGGGGACACATATAGAAATTTTTAGCATCAAACAACTTCCTGCATTCTGATGACATTTCGAGCATCAATTTGTGCTTCTCTGCATCGATTTATGGCGTAAATATCTTTAATTTTGTCAAAATAAAAGTCTCTGTTACTTTCATGCTTCAGTAGAGGGGCAAATGCACATATTCGAAATACAGAGGGAGACGTTTTCCTCGCTAACCCCTTCAAATCTACAAATATGAAAGATATTCAATATAGTTACCATAGAAAACTGAAGTTAACAGGAAGTATTCACATTGTAAGAAGCCATAACTAGAGGAATCTGGTATATTTATTTTGAAAATGACCCAAAACAATCAATCATTTATCAAAAATTCTTCTTGATTGATCAACTAATCAATAATAATAATAATCATTTGAGCCATTTTTTTTAGCAAAAATACAAACATTTTCTGCTCCAAGATCCTCAAACATGAGATTTGTTGCTTTATTTGGTCATATATGACAGTAAACTGAATGTCTTTAGGTTTTGATTAGATTAAATAAGGTATTGGGCTCTGGGGCGGACGTTTTCAGTATGTTATGAACTAAATGATTCACTGACAGTAAACAAAATACGCTTAGTTGCAGCTTTAAAGTGACAGAACAGGATGAAATCAAACAGAAAGAGGTTTTCCAGAATGGAGGATTTAATAATGCTATCAATTTACACACTAAAGGTTTGTCTCGGGACATCCTCTCCTCGTGTAGAAATCAGAAACCACTATTTCTAATCTGCGTCCTGGAAAATGAGCCCTAAATGTTTGTGCTTTGCCGTCAGACGAGAGGAGGAACATCATCATTATTATCTGATTAATTAGTCCACGTTTCCCCTGAGAGCTCCTCTTTTGTGGAGGGGCCACAGAGTCAAAAGAATACTGGCCCTATTATTCAACAGCATTTGCATTAATGCTATTTTTGCATAGAGAATCTCCGGAGCTTTTGTCCCATGGTTTTTGTGTTCGGTCGCTCTCTGGCAGCGCTTATTAGGCACAACACATGGGAACAGACTTGTGGGTTCAAACGGCAAACGCTCACCGCCCCAAACAAGGCTCACCTGGTTGGTTTCGCCACAGTGGATGTGAGGCGGTGATTGACTTTTGCACTGAAGGGTGGAAATGCGTCTGTTTCTTTGTTAAACGACATTCATGAGGAAATTTGGACTTTGTGTCAGCGTGTCTTCATCGCAGACTGTGTTACTGTGACTTACTGTAAACGGGTGATGAAAAGCGTACTGCACGTATGTGATAGTTTGTGTGTGTGCGTGTGTGTGTGCTCGTACAAAGAGGGGGTCGCTGATCGCATGCTCTGTGTTTCCTCCCTTCAGCACCCTCTCTGTTGCCATGGAGAGACCGTTCTTTGCTTTCCCATAGGAGGAGAAATTAACACCATTTTTAACTGGCCCGGGGGCCTCCCCCCTGTGTGGGAGATAGTCTGAGTTCTGCTCCACACACACACACACGCACACGCACGCACACACACAGAGTCTTTAAGACGGCAATAATCTCCCTACCACACCGCTACTGTCATTTTTAATACCTTTGCAAGGCCAACATTTAACGAACTGGGACAGTATGATAATAGCCTGAAAATGGACTCGGTGATGATGTATGTGCGAGTCATTTACATACCATTTTGAGTCAGCGACTGGAACGTCAACAGTGCCAGTCTGCCGGGGCTGGTGGGACTGTCTGTGTCTCCAGCTCGGTTGGATATTGGGGATGTCACACACTCTATCAAATAGTGGCCATCATGGGAGCAGCAGCCGGGAGAGAAGCACACACACACACACACACATACACAGGGATGTCGGACATGAGGGGTAGAGCACCTAATGTGGATTTAATGACAGGGCTTCATGAATTGAGAGACGTGAGGAGGAGGAGGAAGAGAAGGGAACGGGGTTTTATAAAACATTTGGGGCACTCTGTGGAGGTAATAGTCTGTTTTATCCCAGTTATTCTGTCATATGCATCTTCAGACACACACACACGAACACACACAAAAACACACAGGGAATGAAGATTGTTCCATTTACGCGTCCATTAGCCAGTTGATAGATTTACAGAGGGGAAGATGGGGCTTTAAAAGATGACCTGTTGTCACATCTGCAGTGAGATAATCTGAGTCATGAGTAGTGTTGACACAGCCATCTTTACTCCCTACTTACACACACACACACACACACACAGAAAGTACCTGAGCACACATCACTGCTGCTCCAACTTAAGCTACTTATTCTGCAGCCACCTTCACAAAATAAAAACCGTCTCCGTGTTTATGTTGACTTTAAAAGTTAAATTTGAGATGTAGCATCCCTTCCTGTGTGGAGTTAATATCTTGCATCTCTGCTCTCGTTGCCGGCCTGTCTTTGTGACCCAGCTGCTTCCCTGTGAACCTCCCCTCCTCCTCCTCCTTCATCACCTCCTCCTCCTGACCTGCCTGTGTGCAGGACTGCTCCTCTCTCCCCTCTCTGCTACAGTGTGTGTGTGTGTGTGTGTGACTGCCAGCGGGGGTGGGGGCAGCCGACTCAACCCCTCCAGTCTCCTAGCAACAGAGCGGTTTGGTGCGGGACGGGGAGAGAGCGAGCAGGGGATGGGGGCTGGTTGTACAGTGGCTGGGGAGAGCAAAGTCCTACGGGATTAGAAAGATAGAGGGAAGGAGGAGAAGGAGGAGGGCGAGGAGTTTTTTTGCGGTGTTGTTGGCGATTAGGGATGCTGACATGTCTCCTTTGCTCTTTAAAAAGCGGCATGCTGCTGCTGATGAGACCAAATATCTACAGCGCTGTTCAACAGCTGTTCTCCTCTGAGATGCTTCGGCTACAAGCTTTGCCCGGTAGACGTGCTGCACTTAAACACACACGGCGCTCACGAATACACACACACTCAAAGCACGTCGTGTTTAGAGGTGAATGTTTAACTCCCTGTTGACTTGTGTTTGGAGACATAAGAGCTTATCGAAGCCGAGGTGCCCGAGATGGCCTTCAGGTAGCAGGACAGATGTGGTGGCCAGTGAAAGAGAAGCAGTCTCCCCTGTAAGTTGGGGAGTAGCAGTAGGCCTCGGCTACATGTTTAACAAATAAAGCTGCAACGATAAGTCAATTCATTGATTTGTAAAATAATCAGCAACTATTCTGATAATCGATCAATCATTGGAGATAGTTTTCAAACAAAAATGCAAACATTCCTCAGCTCCTGGTCTTAAATGTGCTTCTTCTATGTGTTGTAAACTGCAGAGCTGCACCAAACAGATTTGGTGCCCTGGGCAAGCTTCCCATGGTGCCCCCCCCCCCCCTCCACCCCACACAAAATCAACACAAATACACAGCTTAGCGAGCAAAGAGTAATAATAATAAATAAACAATTTAAAAATGCGGTGTATGCAAATTTACCAATTTTGCCTTCTTTTTCTTTTTGTACTGCGCCCAGGATGGATTTTACCTTTCATTTGTTTAGACTGTGATGAGCACTGACGAAGGTGAGCAGCAATGGCAGGACTGTAGACCAACCGTTAGCATTAGATCTTTGGATCCAACACATTCTCTCTTCAACCTCATCACATATTGACGTGTGGTCTTGGACTTTCCACGTCCAGATATGACGTAAAAGGTACCCTGGGTGCGTTGGTTGTTGACGTTCAGGGATGCTGTGTCAAGTTCTGCCTGTTACATGCATTGTCTTCTTTCAAAACACTTACGTTTTCACAGGAAATTTAACGCTGTAATCATACAGTCTCTTTCAAAGTAAACGCACTTCAGTTAAAAAATGCAATTTTTTTTACCTCCAACAACTAACATACATGGGTAGGTTTTGGCAACAAAAGAACAGAGTTTGGCTTTAGAATCTCATGGGACATGAACACCGCTCTCCTGGGTGAAAGTCAGTGTTTGTTGGACCCACCCACCCTACTCGGACTTTCGGCGCCTTAACTTTTGTTCTTGTCCCGGCGTGTGTCCCCTGGCGCCGCAGAGCGCCATTAAACTATAACGGCGACCGGCCATGTATCATGCCAATGTTAAAGGAAGGCTTTTCTCGTCAGTGTCTGACACCATAAGTCACTGCCCAAGCGCCGGATTTCGGCAACTTCAGAGTGAGACCGGACTCTTGGATCGTTTTTCCCTTTTGTTAAATCTTTTTCAAATTTTGGATTTTTTTTTTTTTTTTTTTTTTGGAAGGGATTTTGGCAACCACACAAAACAAAAGCATTTCAAATATTGGTATTAGATTCAGACCACCCACTAGGGCTGGGTGTCGTTTAAAAAAATTACGATATCAGTACCCATAAAGTGATACTGATACCAACAGAATACTTCATTCAATACACATCATGTGAATGGAAGCATTCAAGTTCAGTGTGAGGTTGGGCATTTTAACATGGGAAGTCTATGGGGACTGACTGGCCTCTAGAGCCAGCCTCAAGTGGCCGTTCAAAGAACTGCAGTTTGTGGCTTCATTTTTCAGCTCTGGAGGTTGCTGCTTGGACTTCACCACACCACAGACTGCATGAGTTGTGGGTAAATCTCAGGATGCAGTAAATGGAAGAATGCTTGCGATGATTTCCCGCAAGCAAATCCATACAAACAGTCATTTCTTTCTAGATCTGGGTAAAAAAAATGATTGTATACAGGTATCGTTTGACTGGAGAAGTTTCAATACCACTTGGTACTGTGTTGTTTCAGTCGACACCTTGAAGGCATTGAGTTCCAATATCCAGCCCTACTTCCCACCAGGTCTTACACTGGCAGGCTGCAATATTCTGTATGTGTGTGTTTTTCAGCTCAGAGAATACATTCCCAGCTGAATATCCTGAGCATGTATGTTGGATATTTTGTCGGGGTAGAATTCAGTGGAGGATGCAGCAGCAGCGGTGTGGGTGCAATGCACACCCCACAGTTGTATGAGATTATCTAAATCCAGCGTGAATGGACCTGACACCATTGTCCCAAGAAGCAGCAGCAGCAGCAGCGGTAGCAGCAGTGGTGGCGGTGGTGGTGATGTCACCAGGGGAATGATGATGATACCTCCAAGTGCGACAGATTACAGCTGTGATGATGAGGTGGAGGATCGCTATTATTTCATTTATTATCATTACATTTAGCCCGTGCTGACAGGGGAGAGTGGCTCGACAGAGAGAGGGAGAGAAAGGGAGAGAGGGCCGGATTAAAACAAACCCGCTCTGTGAGCTGGTTTTAGTTGCCATGGCAACGATCATTACCTCGCACTTGGGAGAGCAGGAGCAAGAAGAGGAGGAGGAGGAGGAGGGGAGAGAGAAAGAAAGAAAGAAAGAAAGAAAGAGAGACGGGACGGAAAGGTAGGGGATGAAGACGTGAAGGCAGGAGCGGGGACGCAGTTGGGGGAAAAACGAGAAAATGAAATGTCAGATCCCAGGAACTGTGCAGAAATGTCAAGAAGAGGAGGGGGACAGAAGTGTGATTCCTCAATGCCGGGGGGACAACTTTTTGAACTCCGGACCCTCCTCTCACTCAAACAAGAAAAGATCACTCCCCAGCTAGAACCCAATCTCCAGAAAATGTCAGCGCTTGTCTCACATCTGCGTGAAAGAGCCGGACTCATGAAAAAAAACTAATTAAATGCCCAAATCCTTTTTGTGTTCATTTCATGCTTGCTGGGGCACTTTAAAAATATCAGCAGGTGCAGAAATATTAAGATAAGATCTGGTGGAAAATGCAAAGTGTTTGTTAAGGAGAGGATGAGAGAGTTACTTGGAGAAAAAAAAGAAAGATGGAGGCAGAAAGGAGAGGAAAGCCCCATGTGGTGCTGCGGATGGAGGCCGTTGTCCTGGCGATCCCACTTCTATGGTGTGTCACATGACCCTTTGCCCAGCACACCTGCCCGAGAGAAATCAGTGGCAGTTTCTATGGCGACAGGGTCAGCAGTACGGGAGGCAGGATGGCTGCCAGAGGTGGTAGTAGGAGGGACTGTTGGTCTTGTACAGTGTCGGTGGTGTTATTTTTAAACATTGCAGAGATGAGGTGATGGCTGCCGACCTGGCCTGGCCCAGACTTCTCCATCTGGGAGGGAAACATAAAGACAGACTGATTTATGGACAAAACAAAGCAGGTTGTTTCGGGTTAGGACACCTTGTGCAGGGTGTGTGAGTGACTGTAACCACATGACTCATGTGCTCTAAAGATCCTGCTCATGGATGCAGGAAGCTCCATTTGCAGCTTTAACAGACCAGTGTTTCCCAAGTGGTCCAGCCCCAGTGTCCAGATTTCTCTTTAGTCATTAGTTCAAGGTCCCACAGCCTAAAACATTCAGCATCATACTTGTGTTTGGCCACGGTGTTGAGCTAATTTGCTGTCTCTGTCAAACAGCTGTCAGTTAGTCACTGACTCTACAGCGGAAAACAGCACTTCAAAATAAAAACTCTTTGTTAAATAAACCACTTTATTTTGAAGTACTTAAATTTCCAGCAAACTTGACATGTTTGTGAGTCACTTGCGGTCCATTCAGAATGGGCCCGCGACCCACTTTGGACTATGACCCACCAGTTGGGAACCACTGATAAATCTCTGTGAGACGGGACATAAAACCTTAACCCAATCTCTGTCTGTGTTTCAGTGTTCAGATGGGAATTCGGCCCAAGACAACTCCTCCCTGAAGCGTGTAGCTGTGGTAGAAGACTTCTTCGACATCATCTATGCCATGCATGTGGAGATGGGCGCCGACCCCGGGAGAGCACCCAAACATGCAGGCCAGAAGAAGACCTACAAAGCGGTGAGTGAATCCAACCAGGTACCCTCAGCAGGATAAGCGGTCTGACAAATGCCTTGCAATATGATACGATACACTTTATTGTGCCTGTTGGGACAATTAACACTCTTGGGACACTCTTGGGCTCAGGAGCTGCACAGGTATTGCTGCTTCACAACAATAGTCCAGAGCAAATGAAAAGCATACACCATAAAATCATAAAAACACGTAACACACATAATTGTGTGTTAAGTGTGCATATTACAGCATGCAGACACCATCTCTTGTTCCTTTGTGTCCACAGCTGGAGTGAGGTAAAAAAAAAACAGTAGGGTTTTTTCATTTTAAGAAATGGGCCCAGTTTTCTTTTAGGAGGCCAAAACTTCCAGTCGCTCCTGACTAAATGTTCAACACCTGGAGACCGGTGGGAATATTTATTTCTGTGAAAGACAAAAGGCTGTACTCCTTCGCTCTGGCGACATCATGTATAATGTCTAGCATCAGGAGTTACCAAGGGAACCAATAACCACCTTTACCAGTAAAACAAAGTACTGATGGTGCACAGGAGTTTCATTGTGTCACATGATGGATGTCGCAGGAACAAAGGCAGAATATGAGTTTACAAACCAAGTGAGGTTTGGTCTCGGGTCGGGTGTGGTGTCCTGACAGGGGCTTTGTATGTAGCTTTAGTGCTGCGTTGGTGAGGGGGGTTTAGCAGGACTCTGGTACCCCCCACCCCGCAGGATGGGAGAAAAAAAAAATCATAGAGCCACGTCCTCCTGCCCTGTAGAGAGGTCCTGTCACGTCTCATAGAGTGTACCCTTTTGAGGAGGCAGCATCACTGGGGCAGGGCATAATATGGAACTGTCACTGTGGCCTTCTGGGAGTTGCACGCTCCTCTGGGTGGCCTTTCCCTCTCAGCTGCCTCAAGGGGCCGTGAGGGGTGGGGTGGGTTGAGGGGGTGCAAAGGGGATGGGGAGCTGTGGCAGTGGTGATGGCGGGCCGGTGGGGGTGGGCACCCCTGCTGCCTCTCCATGGTCACGTGAAGGTCGCATTTTACAGGGAAACGCCAGAGGGGGCGAGGAGGGGAGGGTGGCATAGCAGCGGAGACAAACAGAGAAGGAAGGCTGAGCATGAGAAAGAGGTGGAGATACAAGTCGACTGGACCTGAGAGAGCAGGAAGAGTAGGATGATGAGCACCACTCATGTTTTAGAGCATCACAGCAGAAATGCGTACAGCTGGAATTAGGCCGTTTGAAGGCAGCGAGATTGCCTGGAGGGAGGATTCCTCCTCATGCCACATCCAGATAACACATAATCACTGACCCCAAACTTTCACACATGCACCGTACAAAAAAACACCTGCACACACACATTCTGAGTTCACAGCCTGAGCCATAACCGCTGCCATTTTTGTTTCCGTAACCCAGTCTCCTCTGCTCACTCCCCCGGCACAGATAGCAGAGACCTACGCCTTCCTGCCCAGAGAGGCGGTGACTCGGTTCCTAATGAGCTGTGGAGAGTGTCAGAAGAGGATGCACATCAACCCCAGCACTGCAGAGTTCAAAGGTAACGGCACACATCTGACCCGTGGAGAGGCTGGCTAATTCTAGAGACATTAACCGATTTTTTTTAGATCAACCTTTAAGAGTGAATAATGCTCAGATCCTGTGACATGGAAAAGGTTTAATTGCTGTGTTGCAATGCATGCTAGGATTATAGAAACCAATCAATCCTCTCGCTGTGGGATTTTCTGCAATAATTTCATTTTAAGATTCATAGAAATGTTGATTTGATATATCAGATAGAGCTGAGTTCTCCATTGTCCTGTTAGACACTAGATATCAGCTGATGTGATCTTAGCTGTTTATACTTGGAAGAGTTTCGACACTGAGCCTTCATTAATAAAACATGCTGTATATGTATCCATCACCGACATGCTGTAACAAAGACCCAAGAGGACCACATTTCTGGGATTGTATAGACCCACCAAACTGATCACAGAGTCCCTCCAGTGGCCAGTATGGAGACTGCAGACAGCTCACAGCCACTTTGTTTGGGTTCAGGTGGTATAAACAGCAGAGGTTACTCCATCGGTTTCAACCTTTTTGCAGGATAGTGCAGCAAATCTACCTCACTCAAAGAATTTGTAGGCATGGTTGATGGACAGGTGCACGCCATGCTCTAAAAAAACAAGAACAGGAAGTCTGGATCGCTGATTTGGTCCACAGTTTGCGCCAAAAATGGCACCCATCTGAGTCATACTTCAGTCAGTCCCAAACACACAGACATGATCTGCATACTTTTTGGATTCAGTGTGACTTAAACATTTTCAGAGGGTTTAATATCCCTGAAGTCTATCACTGATAAATGGCCATAAATCTGTTAGTAAGTCAAAGAAAAATGACATCCCTTATCCTCCTGAGACCTGAGCTTTTGTTTGGTATGCATTTTTAATTTCTTCTAGTTAGATCAGTAGGACCTGATAAGTATGAAAAAACTAAACACCGTCAATGATAATTAAGTCCCAATGTCCGTCAACGAGCTGATGATAAATTCCTTATGTCTTCAAACGAGTACTTTCTAATTAACAGTGTCTTAGTTTGTTACCGTTGCTAAAATTGGTGAAATTTGTTGCCGTAGCAAACTACAAACAATAGTTTCAATCATAAAATGTGACCAGGTTTTGGACCTTGTCCACGTTTGTGTCGGGGTCGGTTGTAGACTGACTTGGTTGAGATGGCTTTTTAGATGGATTAGTGTATTGTGCTCTTACTGCCACTAGATGGCAAAAAACTGTCCACAAATGAGGACAACAGGTCTAAGTCAAGTAGAATTAAGTATAAGGTCAAGTAAACCCAAAATATAATGTCCTCAAATAAGGACACAGGGACTCAGGAGGATATAATTCCAGAACTTGCCTGAGAATTGTCACAGTTTTAAGTTTTCTTCAGTGTCAAAGTATTCCAGTGACAGTCCATGAGTACATCTCAAACAGGAAGTGGTCACATCAAATTCTGCATACTTTTAATGGCGCCATTTTAAATTATGGAGACAATTTTGCATAGTTGATGGATAGGTCTATGCTGGTGCTCTAAAAAACAAACAGGAAGTTTGTTATTGCAGTCTGGCCGGCTGATCTGGCCTAAAATTTGCGCCAAAAATGGCATCCTTTCTGAGTCATAATGACTCAGTCACATCTTAACACACAGACATTATCTACAATTATTAGGATTAAAGTGTGACTTACACTTTCCCACATCATTACCTCAGATGTCTCAGTTTTCTTCAATATTAAAGTAATCCAGTGACAGTTGTGTTTATATCCATTAGTACATCTCAAACAGGAAGTGGTCACAGCAATTTCGGCGTACTTTAATGGTGCTAATTAAAAGTATGGAGGCTGCTTTTGTGTGGTTGATGGACAGATGCATACCAGTGTTCTAAAAAAACAACAGGAAGTTAATTATGACAGTCTGGCCAATCGATTTGGCCCAAAATTTACGCCAAAATTGGCATCCCTTCTGAGTCACAGTAACTCATTAATTCCAAACACACAGACATGATAGACATATTTTTGGATTCAGTGTGACTCACATACTTTCTGAGGATGTCATTATCTTCAATGTCCATCGCGAATACATGTTTATAAATAGAAATGAAAGAAGAAATAATGCCAGAGCGTGCCGGAAAATCATCACGATTTTACACGTTTTTTCAGTATCACAGTATTCCAGTGATAGTTGTGTGTATATCCGTGAGTGCACTGCAAACAGGAAGTGGTAACAGCTAATTCTGCATACTTTTAATAGTTAATGGTTGATGGACAGGTGCGTGCTGGTGCTCTAAAAAAACAACAGGAAGTTTGTTATTGCAGTTTGGCCGGCTGCTTTGGCCCAAAATTTGCACCCAGAATGGCACAACTTCTCTGAGTCATAACTCAGTCAGTTCCAAGCACACAGACATGATAGACATATTTTTGGATTCGGTGTCATTTAAACACTTCCAAGGATATCATTATCTGTGATGTCCATCATAAATAAATGTCCATAAATCTGTTTTAGGAGGCAAAAACAAAGACACACCATATAACTCCAGAACTTGCCAAAGAATCATCACATTTTTCTTCAGTATCAAAGTATTACAGTGATAGTTGGTATGAGTACACTTCAAACAGGAAGTGGTAACAGCTAATTCGACATACTTTAATGGTGCCAACTAAAATTACAGCAGCTATTTTGCATGGTTGATGGACAGGTGCATGCTGGTCCACGACAAAAACAGGAAGTTTATTATTGCAGTCTGGCCGGCTGATTTGGCACACAGTTTACTCCAAAACTGGCTTTCCTTCTCTGAGTCATAATTTAGTCATTTCCAAGCACACAGACATTATCTACATATTTTCAATTAATTGTGACTTAAACACTTTCAGAGGATATAATATCTCTGATTTCTATCCCAAATAAATGTCCACAAATACCAGAACTTGAGAACTTGTCTGAGAATGGTGACAATTTTATATTTATTAGTTTTCATCAGTGTCAAAATAATCTAGTGATAGTTGTGTGAACATCAATGACTGCACTTCAAACAGGAAGTGGTCACAGCTAATTAAGCTCACCTTTAATAGTGCCTATTTAAATTATGCGGCTGATTTTGTGTGGTTGACAAAGAGGTGTACACCATGCTCTAAAAAAACAGGAAGTTCATGTCTGATCCGCTGATTTAGCCCAAAATTTTGTGCCAAATGAAAGTTGACACTATATTTATTACATTTATTTCAGACACAGAGTGAGTACAGGTATATTCAGGCAGTCAGTTGAAGAAAAATACTGTGTTTTTTGAGCATTAAAGCGTGTAAACATGTTCTGGCAGAAACACTAAATACAAGTACAAACCTGAAAATGAGCAGAATACTGGGCCTTTAAATCAGAACTGTATAAATCAGTGGTTCCCAACAGGTCCAGATTTCTCTTTAGCCATTAGTTCATGGTCCACACAGTTTAATATACACAGCATCATACTTGTGTTTGGCCATGTCGTCAAGCTAGTTTGCTGTCTCTGTCAAGTATCTGTCCATTAGTCACTCACTCTACAGCAGGAAACGACACTTCAAAGTAGACTCTCTGTGCCAGAAATTCACTGTACTTAAAAATAAAGTGTGTTTTTTACAAACTCTTTGTGAGTCACTTGTGGTCCATTCAGAATGGATCCGTGACCCACCAGTTGGGAACCACTGATGTAAAGGTCCAGTGTTAAAGATTTAGTGGCACTTAAGTTGCAGAATTTGCAGAATGTTCCCAGCGTGTAGGGGAACCATGGTGGCTGACACAAAAACACAAAATGCAAAAATGTGAATGGCCCTATCCAGAGCGAGTGTATGGTTTTTCCGTTCTGGGCTACTGTAGAAATATGGCGGCGCAACACGTCGATCTTCATAGACGAGGAGCTGCTCCCTATGTAGATATAAACGGCTGTTTCTAAGGTAACGAAAACACAATGATTCTTAGTTTCAGGTGATTTAATGATAATATAGTTATGAATATTATAAACTATCTCTGCCAATAGGTGCCCCTAAACCCTGCCCACTGGATCTATAATAAGTGTTTTTTATTTGTTCATAATTTGTGTGGTTTTTGTGCTGTCTTTGTCAGAAAATGACCGACCCACCTCCCTGGTCCCGGACCTCATTGATTACAACATGCCTCTTACTGCCACCTACCTGAAACAGATGAAGCTGCAGTGCATGACTGCCACTGAAAGGGTGAGTGCCTCTTTACTGCATGTTTGTGAAGCGTGGGAACAGATACAAGGTGTCCTGAGGGATTAATTAAAAAAAAAAAAAAATCAAACTGCTGCTAACGTCTCCTTTTCACTATAATTGTGTTTGTACTGACTAAACACATCATCTGGTTTGTATTCTGTTCCTTCTCATGGAGGCTGTGAGCAGAAACACTCTGTGCAGGCAGAATAAAACATACTTCTTCTTAACTTTTAATTCACTCCTGAACAATGAGAGCGGTGCCCCTGCTGGGAGGAGGAGCTCAGTGTGAAATGAGGATTAGTAAGCCCTCTGACATCACGTGTGAGGCCCCTCCCCATGTGCGGCTGTGACAGAAACACTCAGAAACCACTGTCACTGAAGTGCAGGGAGCGCTACTTGATGATGATAATGTAGAACCTCACTCACGCATAATTAGGATTATCCGGAACAATGACCCAGACTGTGATTTGCGGGTGAGTACAAATTAACAAATGCTCAGAGTGTTGGTCACATCTGTGTGCAGACTGAGAATGAGCCGGGCCAATAATTTAATAATTAACCATCACAGAGGGCTGTTTCAACTGCTGTAGGAGACTTGTAGTGATTTGTTCCATATTTCTGCTGCGCTGCGTTGCACAACAGTTCAGAGCAGCAGTTGGTTCAAACTGCAGCAGGTTTGTTCTGTTGACAAAAGCAGATCAGCGGAGAGTCTGTGAGTGTGTGTTCAGTCTGCTGCAAACTGTTTGCATGTTGTTCTGCAGAACTTTGCTGATTGTTATGGTACAGTAAAGAAACAAACTACATATGGAGACAAAACGTGCCTCAGATACCAAACACTCTCACTGTTTAATATTTTACCCAACAAAAGTGTTCAACTCTCTCATCCTGAGACAGAGGTATTACACATATTTCTATTTTATAGTATTTTATGGTTTCTTTTTCATATTTTTATTGTAGTTTTTCTATTGTATATTCATGTTCCTGACTGTTGCAGTACTTTGCCTTTATTTTTACCGTAAAACTTCAATTAAAAGCCCAGTTCCTTCTACTAGCCCGGTGTGGCTACACATTTTGACAAATAAAGGCCTGTCTCAATTAGACGCCTAGTCTGGTTGCCAAGCAGTTCATTGTTTTCTATGAAGGTCCTTCAGATGTATAAATTATGTGTCCATTACTTGATTACCTTGTAAGTTATTCATATTCTTTTAGTCCATAAGGGTCCTCAGATCAAAAGAATCAAAAGGGTTTTTCAAAAAAATGTATTCAAGTTGTGGAAATTATTTTTTGCCAGGTGCCAAAATCCTCAAGTGATGTAACTCTCTCTCTCTGATGCTCTGTCTGTTGGAGCTAGACCAAATGAATGATTCATAATTGATATATTATCTGAAGATTGGTTTTTATACAAGTGATATTCATACTGGTTTAAATAAACAATTTGATTATATCTCCTGATCTTTGCTGAGCAACAGTTTTGTGTGAAAGGAATTAAAAGCCTGTCCCAAATATAGGCCTTCTGATTTCAGTGATTTAATCAAATAATAGCCGGGCTATTAATTGAAGTTTTACAGTATTTCGCCTTGATTGGTTCATTGAACATTTATTGTATGCACCAAAACACCAAGGCAAATACCTTGTAAGTGAAAACTTACTTGCGGTGCTGGACCTCAGACATTCAGCACCCTAGGCAAGTTTCACCTGTCACCTCACCCCACACCAAAGTTTAGCTAACAAATAATACCAACAAAAAAACACAATAAAAAATTGTATAAATTTGCAAATGTGTTTCTTTTTTTGTGTTGCGCCCAGAATGTCTTTTCTATTTTCATTTTCTCTTACTGCGATGCTCTGCACACACACTCCCCTCCAGCTTATCCATTATGTTTTATGTCCATTATTTTTTTATTTTTATCTAAAAAAGGAAATAGGAAGATCCACCACTGTCTATTTGGCAGTGAACCTTAATCTGATGCGGATGCCCCTCCATTCGACCACTTTGAATAGATACAGACTTAGTTATAAACACCACATCAAAAACAGACTCTGAAACCGATGACTTGTGAAACTTGTGAAAATGCTGACCAGAGTTCCCTAAACTCCACAGTAGCATCTCCAGATTGCTTGTTTTTTTCCAATACAACAGTCAAAAAGTATTTAGTTTACTATCACACACAAGCATAGGCGTAGATTTTGAGGGGGACGCAGGGGTTAGTCCCCCCCCAGTACAGTAGGTGAGGACTTTGTTTTTGATAGTATTAAAGACCTTTCCATTACAAACAGATGCAGGACAGGCAATTGGTGCATACAAATTCACCAGAATGAAGGAAATTGTGTTCAGTGCTCAGTGTTTCCTAGCAGAAGACCCCCAACCTCACCTGTGTCCCAGCAATGTTAAAATTAAATCTACTGAGAAGAAGAAACGCAGCAGATCCTCATAATTTAGAAGCATGAACCACTGAATGTTTTTATGACCCAAACTGTTCAGAGATGATCAAAATAATATATATTTTTTTGTTGATCGACTAATTATTTTATCTCTTTACAAAAACATTATTATACCGTAAGTCATATCAACTTCTGGAGACATATGTTTGTTGTCTTGATTGATGAGACAATAAAGTTTATTCAAGTAACGTGTAGTGAGTTAAATGCTCCAGCTTATCTCTTTGTAAAACTCTTTTGGGTCTCGGTCTTAAAAGTAAATCCCCAGACTTTATGAATTATACACTAAAGCATTAATGATGCTACGTTCCCGACTACTTAGAAGCTGTGTAATTAGAGCCTCTCTCCCTCTCCTGTCTCCGTCGCTCTTTAATGCTACACTGCTCACTTGGTACCTAATGGAGCCGTCACTGAGCATTTTGGTCCTCCTCAAACCCCCTTTCAGAGGGACGGATGCATATTCCCAAGAGTTTAGGCCTATTTGTGTGCTCGTGTGGCGGGAATGAGATGGCGAGATGATATTTCCGCTCTGTTCCCATCACACAGTCGTAGCTTTGCTCCCCTCTCTGCCAGCTGATACATGACGGTGAGCACAAAGGCCAGAGAGAAGTCATCATGTATGTTAACAGGAAGTGGCCTGGGTCGCTCTGAGATGTGCTCATGGCTGTTAGCAGATGATATAATGCCTGTAGTTTGGAGCCGAAGCTCAGGACAGCCTTTGAATAGTTTGAGATTATTCCGCTCTCCTTGGCTAATCCTCATGGTTTACTCATATTCGTGTTGCGCTACAACAAGCATCTTTAGGGTCTCTAAGTAACAGAGTTAAAAATAGCAGCGCTCCAAGAAACATATTACTTAACAGGGAGCCTCCTGCTTTTTTCTGAATCAGACTTCAGCACATTTTATCAAGACTGAAATCAGGAAAATGTCACAAATGTACATTGAAAGCCTCTTTGCAGTAACTATTGCTCTGGTCCATACTGGCCTCTAAGAGATTCCTGTCTGAAGCTATTTCAGTGAGCAGTGTATGTCATGTCAGTGATGGAGGAAAAACTCCACAGGTCAAATCTAGGCGTAAGCGATTTTCATGTTTTGTTTTATGACATAAAATACGTTAGTAAATACCCCACTCCTGAGTTATAAGCTTTCATGGGTCTTGAAAAAGACGGTTGCTAACAAGTGGCTAAATGAGACTACAGAACGTCATCACACCGAACATGGCTTTACAGCCTCGTTGTGGCGGCGACATTAAAGTCATGTGATGGAGGTTGAGTTTGTTTATAGCCTGACATTAGTTTTTTACTTTGGGTGATTGCATTTACACTTCAAAATTCATAAAAGTGGTATTTATTTGTTTGGAAGGATTACTGAACAGGCCTCTCGGGCACAGGCACAGGGGCCCAAATGTGTTTTTTTGGGGCGGTTGCCCTGGCTTTCACCTGCAAAATGTCACTCAAATTAACTCATACCAACCAGATAGAGATTCAAAATGACCACAAAGAAATGCAAAGGAACTGCAAAGAGACAAAAACTACAAAAGGATGTATTCCGACTACAAAGAGATGCAAAACAACGACTAAGAGAGGCTGAACAAGTATAAAGTGTGTGTGTCTCGCTCCTACGTGGGGGGGCAGAGCCCATTGACAATCAGCCCCTGCTCATGTGTGATGATCTTGCTGAACAAAACAACAACAAGCCCATTGGCTTTTTGACAAGGGAACCAGGGTGGTGCCAACTTCCGGGTTGGCCTCATAGACTGAATAAATAATGGAAGTAGCTGCCGTGATGTCACCCACTGGTTTGTGGACTCCAGTTTTAAAGCTTTGAGTTCAGCATTACAGCCGTCGCAATCTTGGGTTTTTGGAGCCAGAAGTGACCATGGCTGGATCCAAGTGTCCACCCTCTGGACTTGCAGACTGAGGCTGTACAACTGTACTGTACATACTGCTTTCTAGCCTATATATTTGGCATTACACTGCGCAACCTTTTGGGTAGGCTCGAATAATACAATGCATTTTCATTCCCTCTACAGCCTATATTTCTACATTTTTCTGTATCATGATGTTGAATATTATTTCTGGCCTACATGATTCAAGTACTGTTTTAATAGGCTACAGTAACTGTTTTACATATATTAGTCGGCTATTGAAAAGGAAAAAACTACACTGTCACTTCCATATTGTAATGAATTGCGGGCAATTAACTCTCTCAAGTCTGCACCCCAAGCAGACTTTCTGGATGTCTGCAGAAAGTCCACTTGAGGCCCTTTGTGACTGGATGAATTGTAGATTTGAACCTGTGATAGAAGAGTTTCTTCTTCTTCTCCCTTTTTAATCTCTACAGGACAAAATGGGAAACTGGGAAGTTTGTCAAAAGGATCTCCATCCTGACACGACTCCCTCTTCACAGCCAAGCTTCCTTTCCCCGCCTCATGGTCTCTTCCTTTCTCTCTCCTTTCAGGATGATAGCTCGGTGAGCAGCGAGGACATGAACGGCGTTGAGACCACATGGGTCGCAGCTGAGCAGCCTCCAGTGCCTGAGCCCAGTCCACCCAACGGAGAGAGAGTCAGCAACCCAGCAGCCCCCCTTAAAGAAGAGGAAGGTAAGACAAACACATGCCAACAACAACCAGGACAGTGTATCTGTGTCCACAGTTTGTTTTATTGTTTTAGTTGCATCTGGAGGTATATGATTGGAAGGTACAGATTGTTACACAGGAAACAGCTTGCCTCGTTCTTAGTGGACTAATCCAAATAAATCCATCCTTACAGGGGGTGGGACACCACCGCAGCCCCGACCCATTGCGCACCCCTCTCTTTCTCTCAGGGTTCAGGGCTTAGAGAAGTAGGACAAAGGCTGATATTAACCTTCACAGATTAGGCACCATGATAGAAAGGACCTGCTATGATGGAGAATCAATCCTTTCTACAGTGAACATAGGTGGGAACGTGACCCATGTAGAAATCACAGTGAAATCAGTACACAGCCATAAACTGGGTGAAAAAGCTGTAATTTACACACACCAGGAAGTGAAGGCTCCCTTCCCCCATCAGTCCCTCCTCATCCTCATCTCTTTCTCTCTTCTGTTAAAACTGAAGATTTCCCCCTCTGCCCTAACTTTTATTTATTCTGACAGTTGACCCCAATACCCACTTCCTTAACAGTTTGAGAGTACAACACGAGGCAGGAAGTCCCATCCCCCTGTGCTCACACGCCCACTCTGTTGTTATCCAGGACAGAAATAGTGCCTATTGTAGTAAACAACTCACATTAAAGCAAAATGATGACAAACACACGCACAGCTCAGCTCCGTGTCTTCTGTTCCTCTGCCAGACGACGACTCCTCGGAGAGCGGCAGTGCCAACGGGCTGCCGGCCCTGACCTCCCCGGAGGTGCTGGCTGTGGGTGGGAACCCCCCAGATGGTGGGGCCCCTTACGGGGAGGTGACAGAGAACGGGCTGAGCGCTCCGCTGGACTTTAGCACCACCTCGCCCTCGTCCTCCTCAGAGGATCAGCAACCGGTCAACCTGAGCGACAGACTGCTGCCGGCTGGGAGCTCGCCGCCAAACTCTTACCCCGCGGACCCCAACAGGAAGTACCCCATCAAAACAGAGTACACCAACAAGGTAAGAATAAAAACTTAATTAGTCATGACTTCAGATACATTTGTCTCATGTGGAGCTGACTCTGTGTTACTCAATGAGCAGTTGAGGGGAGACAGGTGAACAGGGTAATATCTTGAACTAACAGATATCACCATGAAACTTCCCCAGACAATAACTTACATAAAGACAACTAATTATTGTATTACAAGTTGTTTTTGTGTGTTTGTTTTATGTTTAAATATACAAATGAAACATTATCTAATGAAATGTGCTGATTTTCATACATTATCAGAACAAACATCTGAACATTGGCTAAAACCAGGTTCAAAAATCTTTTTGATTTTGTTGACTTGTTGACAAGTCCAAAGTTTTTACAGAGGGAATTTGAGACCCCTCTGTTCCTGACTATAAATCAAAAATAACTGTCAACAGCTATAAACCAAAAAAAAAAATCCATTTTCGCCATACTATTAGGGCTGTTACTGTAAATGTTACATAAACAAACCCCTCAGCAAAGAATTGCAAAGAATGTGGTGACAGAGACATGTGCTTTTTTTCTTGAGAGGCCACTATGTTTGATTAGTTGTTGTTTTATTGTGGATGTTTGTTTTATATGTTGTATTTATTGCATTTTAATGTGTTTGATTGGCCGCTACCTCGGCCAGGTCTCTTGTAAAAGAGATTTCAGTCACGATGGGACTTCCTGGTTAAATGAATAAACAAATAAATAGATAAATAAAAACCTTCAGAATCTAGACAGGAATTAAAACTGGAAAGTTTGGTGTAAGTAAACACTACTGAGGTGGACATTTATGGCTCAGAGTATGAGGGAAAAAACAAATTGAGAAAATTATATGTAGTATTAATTTTCATACATTTTTAGACCAAAAATAAGACTCAGTGGATGAATATGGTAAAAATTTTACCTAGCAGTTATCAACATAAAACTTCCCCAGTTGATCACTGACATTGACGAGCGTTACAAGTTTTTTTTTTAATTTCATGTTTAAAAATGCAAACGAGGCATTATTGAATTAAATATGTGCTGATTTTAATTTATTTTCGGAACAAAAATCTGAACATTGGATAAAAGCAAGTTTCAAATTCTTTTATTTTTCATTTTTGTGGACATATTACAGTGAAAGGTTTTTATAAAGGGAAGTTTGTATCTCTCTCTTAATCACTACATAAATCAGATAATAGGGTCAATGACCATGAAAAACTATTCAACATGTTTTTAGGAATAAAATGTTCTCTAAATCAGGCTATGAATGATACATTAACAAACCCCTCTGTGAAAACCTTCAGAATATAGACAGGAACAAAACTGGGGAGTTTGGTGAATGAGAGTGCTACTGAAGTGGACATTTCTGACTCAGAGTATGAAAAAAATTGAGAAAATGGCCTTTACATTTATGTATTACTAAAAATAAGACTACAGGTGCACAGGGCAAACATTTGAACTAAAAGACATCCAAGAAATTTCCCCAGTTGATTCCTTATATTAAGACAATTATTTTTTTATCAACTTTTGTGATGTTTAGGCATTACAAAATATATATTATAAAACAAACATCAATATGTGTATTTTTGATGTTTTCTTTCCACTGGTCTGAATAAAAAATGTTATGAAAGCAAAACAGCCCACATGTTTTCACCTGGGGTGTGTCACCTTTAGAAAATCAGCTCTTGTGTCTGTGTAATCTATAATAATTTTATGTCTGTGTGTTTCTGTGTGTGTTTTCAGTCCCCTCCTTACAGCTCAGGAAGCTATGACTCTGTGAAAACTGAACTGAGCATGAGCGCTGAGGACTTGACCTCTGGTCGGGCACAGATAATTGATGATGATGATGATGATCATGACGACCACGATGACAGCGACAAGATCAATGACGCTGAGGGTATGGACCCTGAGAGACTCAAAGCCTTCAATGTAAGTAACCTGTCTACCTGTTATAGTATAGACAGAATACAATACTGTCAGCGTAGATAGTGTACTCAGAAATATTACAATATCATATTTAAACTCTATATGAGCGAGTACACAATGCTCACTGTTTATCCTGTGAAAACTAGTCTGTGCATTTCTGATCTTAATAAGTAGAGTACAGTAGCAAAGATGCATCCATGAGTGAATGAGCAAACAGTAGAAATCCTGTCCTGAATATGAGCAATGATTCCATTTCCATCGCTCCTGTTTTCATCACCTCCCCCTCCCTCTTTATCTTCTCTCCCTCTCTAAATCTGATGCTCCCCCATCCCCTGCCTTCCCTTCCCTCTCTTTTGTTTCGACTCTCACACCCCTCTCCCCCTCGCTCTCTACCCGGCACCCCCACTCCCATTTTTCTGCTCTACATCCCCTCTCTCCCCTCCCCCCTCTCGCTCTGTCTCTGTCAGATGTTTGTGCGTCTGTTCGTGGATGAGAATCTGGACCGCATGGTGCCCATCTCCAAACAGCCCAAGGAGAAGATCCAGGCCATCATTGAGTCCTGTAGCCGCCAGTTCCCAGAGTTCCAGGAGCGCTCCCGCAAGCGCATCCGCACCTACCTCAAATCCTGCCGCCGCATGAAGAAGGGCGGCTTTGAGGTACAAAGTGCCCTCAGTCAAAATGTCGTCCATATTTATCCAACATAACAAATCTCAATGAATCCAGAGTTTCGCATTCATAATGTGCTAAAATCTCGCTGCCCCCTCCCGCCAGATACGACCTACACCTCCTCACCTCACCTCTGCCATGGCTGAGAACATCCTCGCCGCTGCCTGCGAGAACGAAACCCGAAATGCTGCCAAGAGGATGCGGCTCGATGTCTACCAAGCGGTAAATGTCTTGGCAGTTGGTGTATGTGAATTTGACCAGCAGGGATTTTGGAAATGTGCTAGGATGGCTATGCATCATTAACGCCAAACGGCACAAATAAACTGCAATATCCTCCCCAAAACTGAAGACGTCTGATTTCTCACAGGATGAACCTGCCTGTGCTGACAAGTCCAACTCGAGGGACCCGGCTTCTGTGGCGCCGTCAGGGTTCACCATCTCCAGCGCAGCTTTTGCCCAAGACCAGCTCTACACCAACGGAGGCCTCAACTACAACCTGCGGGGATACGGGACGGTCGGCAGCAACCAGCAGAACTCTGGAGCTGCACAAACCAACGGTGAGGAGATTATAGCAACCAAATAATGACGCTCAGAGAAGAATATTCAGCTCCTGTTATTAGAGCGTTGGTTCATTTAACTCTTCATCTTAACATGAGTGTCCACCTTAAAACAGTATTGGTGAATAGAATGGACGCTGGTGGATTACCTAAAATACTTCTCAGAAAAATGTGCTGCTGAATACTTTTAGCCATGCTAGTACATAGCTGTAGGAACGACTATGTTAGTATGTTGGCTGTTATAACAGCAGCTATTGAATGTGCGGCCATATTGTTTTGTTCAGACATTCATGGTACCAAGATGATGAATCCTAATGACCACGGTGACCCTGAGACTTTTCCTTTAACACCACCATCTATCTAAAATTTATTTCAGTAGAATATCTCAACATCTTCAGGATGATTGGTGCTAAATTCTACCAGATGATGTACCACACTGACTTTAGCGATCCCCTAACTTCTGCTATAGCATCATCATCAGATGCCGAACTATGTGTGCGGACGTTTATTTAGCTAGTTCCAGGTTATTTAGTCCCGACATAGAGTGTGATTACATGGACATGAATGACCCATTTATGGGGCTTATCCCATCTAGGATCATTTTCGGTTTATGGTGTTTACATAAGTATAAAGAAATCAAGTTATTCATATTTCCTGTATACATCTCGGTTACTTCTAGAGTACTTCTGCTAGCATATTCAGGTTACTCATAAACAGAATATGCTGTTAACATGCTCAAACACATGAACGTGACACTCCAAAAACCCGATCATGAACAGGTTACTCATGTCCAGGTAAACACACTCATAGTAACAGCAATTCTTATATGGGAACAAATGATAAATCAACAGGAATAAAATAGAAATATAGGGAGTATATTGTTGTCATACACAGGGGCAGATCCTGAAACATTCAGGGCTCAACCCAAATGTAGAAGATCTGGGCCCCTGGGGAGATTTCCCCATTTACAGCAGCTAATTGCACTATTTTTCAGGCTCCTTGAGATGATACAGTAGAATACCTTAAAATCTGTGTATCATTTGGGAAAAACATGATAGTACCCAAAGAAAAAAATCATCCCGTGGGCCTACATCCCATTTTGTATCTAACTGTTCTCCAACTCTTAACCCAAAACACAACAAATGTAGTGGATGACTAATTTTCAATCCTGCAGCTTAAAGAGGCAAAGAATATCTGATGTTACTATTTTTAAGTTATATAACATAGGTAGGGTAGGACTTTGGTGTCAACAGCATTAATGGAGTGACCCCTGCGAGCTAGTTCAGACAGTCAACTTGAGCTGCACTGATTCATACACACACGTCATACATCACTTTCCATGTGTCATCCACAAAACACACCCTCCAAATGTGGCGGTCTATTTAAGCTGCAAAGTCTTCCCAGCTCTCCCTCTGCCTTGTTAATGTGGCTGCTGCCCTGCATTAGTACTGCTGCTCGCTCTGTCAGCCCCACTTCCACCCCTGCACCCACCTGCAGGCTCCAGCTAAGGAGGGAAATATTGAATCATCACTCCCTGATATCTCATGTAAACATATCTGCAGGGAGCAATGAGTCTAGACGCCAAACTCTAACTACGTTCTGCTGTTGAACCAAACATCTAAAACGTGAGTTGTCTGACTGAACTAATCTTGAAAGCTATTTTTGTTATACTGTGCTAGAATATAGTTCAAAGATTAATGTTAAGCAGACAAATTCATGCTATAATAATCTGGGCTGCTCTGACTGCAAATCAAGTGTCAGCAATAATGCCAAATTATGTGGTCTTCACTGGTCTGAGCTGACTGTTGGGCCAACAGAAGAACATTGACTCAATTATATTAGATTTCTTTAGGGAACAGCACAGATTCAGGGCTTTTCAGAAAAACCTTCAGGGCTGGAGCCCCAGAGGCCCCCCCTCTGCTCCGCCCCTGGTCATAGAGGCAAACCTGTTACCATATCATAAGCAGACATAATTATAAACCCACCTAATAGAGATGAAAAAAACAACAACAACAATCTAGTGGAGTTTAAGTTTAAAAAATGAGTTGACTTATTCAACATTATACTGAAAAAACCCCCCAAACATTTCCTTAGATCCATCTTCCAAAAAACCCTCAAGAAATGAATTTGAATTCTTTTTTTCCTCTGTCAGACTTGGATTTTATGTGTATGAATAAGATAACCATTTTTAAAAATGTATTTTTATGTTATTTTTTAGTTTTTGCTACTTTTTTGACAGTACAGCACTTTGTGCAACTAATGTAAAATATGCTTTAAATAGATAAAAATAGATAAATAAATATATAATTTAAGAGTAGATATTGAAAAGTAAAAAAGTATATATTGAAAAATGAATTAAAATTAAAAACTGTTTTTCCCAAATTTTAGAGCGTAACTTACCAACCATAAGCACATTTTTAAAAAGAAAAACATGCCATATAACTTAGCATTTTTACGCATATTTCCACCCTAAATAAGTTCACTTTTGAAGTTCCAAGTTGGAAATTTAAATTTTTTTTTCTTCAAAATTCCCCAAATTTCTGAGCCAACCTTTGACATACTTTTAATCAAATGACTACGTACATTTATATGTACTTCTCCCCCAAATAAGTTCACTATTAAAAAAGGTCCAATTTGCATTTTTTTTTTTTCCATTCCCAATATTTCTGAGCTTCTTCCCTGGAAAGTTTTCCAGAAATTAATCAGCCCTTTACAACCCTATTTCTGGCCCTTATTCACATCTCCTGGTGTTCCTCCTGTATTGTATGTCTTTATTGAAGCATCATGGTTGTGTCCGCAGGTCCCACAGATCTGAGCATGAAGTCAGTCGGCCCAAACTCCACCTCCTCCAGCTCTAACAGTCACGGTCAGGGTGGCGGCGGCGGCGGAGCTTCAGCCCAGCTCAGCCCTCCGGAGGTCACGGCGGTGCGGCAGCTCATCGCGGGATACCGAGAGTCCGCCGCCTTCCTGCTCCGCTCTGCAGACGAGCTGGAAAACCTGATCCTGCAGCAGAACTGAGTCCGAGCCAAAACCCTCTCCCAGCCTGTCCACCTCTGTCGCCCTCAGTCACACACATCTGGGCAGACGTTCATACAAAGACACCAAGGTACACGAGTGATGCTGCAGCGCACACAGTGGGTCCTGTAGGTACCGTCACTTAGTCCCACGTGTTTCTGTATTTGGACGGGCCAGAACATATCACAGGCTGAAAATGTTTATTTATGCATTTGGTTCACTTTGACCTTAGTGCCCTGTTATCTGTAGCCATTCATCCCATTCAGTTCATTTTACCACTTCAACCTCCATTCGTCTCAGGAAGCGATGATCTATGTGAAAGAATTATCTGCATTGGTGCACAGGGGAGTACCACTACCTTGAATTAGCTGTGACCAGAATGCCACATTGGCTCGTTTATGCAGATGTTTGGACAAATTAACGGTTAAATAGCAGTGATTTAGCGTCATTACCTTGTGTCTATTTTTACACAAATTGTAAAATATGCTGTACAGTGGCATGATCTGATTGGGTCGTCTGATTCGAGTCTTTTCTAAACCATAACTCTCCAAATTCACTTCTGTGCTTTCTGGAAGTAGATAAATCGCTGCTAAATCCACTGACCTGTTAACCTCAACAGCTACTGAAGGATGTGCTGACTTACATATACACAAAAAAAACAATGTAGAGAAAGGTTAAAAAAAAAAAATCAGGACAGTGTTTGACAGTTTTCACCTGAAAGGTTTGACCAGCAGATCCGTCAAAACGATACCTCGGTCCTGCTCTGTTGGAGTGGTTTCCAGAGTCTGCGGCCCCGTGTACATGTGTACAGATGTTTTTGAAAACTGATATTATTCCCCTCCTTTCAAATATGTCTGTCCACACAACCTTGGTTTTACAAAATATCTTTGTCCACACTAGAACGCAAAAACGACTCCAACTGCTCGCCGGCGTTAGCTGTCTTCAGCAGCCTCTCGTCACAGGCAGCAAAGTGTACAGGCGGACGTTACCTTTTTCAAAACACCTACTGGGGATCTCATGACTGTTGATGTGTGTTTAATTTAAGGAGGATGGAGCTCACTCAAACATACGAGTGAAGCTCTGGACAAGCCAAAGTTTTCCTTCCAATACTCATCAACAACAATCTGGCGAATTTCAAAGAATGGGCGCTGAGGTGGACCGAAAAAACAGTGGATACAGCAAATGCCGCCGTTTCTCTGTGAAGGGGTGCAGCCAATATTAAGTTTAAGTGTAAAATAGTTTAGCGAAGCCTGACCTATCTCCACAGTGCTTTGTCAGCACTTGAGGAAGTTTTCGAATCACCATATTACCATATGACCACAGTCGTTGGCTTGATTTCGTTTCTCTCAACCAATCAGTCCTCCTAGGCAGCGCGGAGTCCAGGACACAGTGACAGGGCTAACTGTTAGCATCACACAGCTAATGCTACCTAACAGTTAATGTGTTTAATGACAGCGTCGAGCTGTTTCAGCATCAGTGTGTTTGTTCAACCCGGTCTCACTTCGAAGTCGTCAAAATTTGGCACTCAGACAGTGACTTGCAGCGTCAGACACTGTTGAAAAAGCCGTCCTTTAACATCAGCATGACACACTGCCTGTTGCTGTTAGTTTAACGGTGCTCGGCAGCGTCAGGGGGGAAATGCGGCGGGACACGAATGAAAGTTAAGGCGACAAAAATCCAAGTAGGGCAGGTGGGAGGGATGGTGGATGGGTACAACAAACACTGACCTTCACCTGGGAGAGTGGTGTGTGTCCCGCAAGATCATAAAGCCAAACCCTGTTCTGTTTTCCTAAGGAGGAAAAACTCTAAAACTCAGTTTGAGTGTGGACGAGAGTCCAGAACATGGAGGAAAATATGAATTCATTAATGCCTGTACACGTGTAGACGGGGTCTTTGGCATGTGGTCACTGAGAGACAAAGACTCATTACCCAATGTGACTTTATTTTCAGTTATTTTATTATGAATATTTCTATCACAGGCAATTTCTCATGACTTAAAAGGAAAGGCGGCTTTTAAGAAGCCTGGGTATGCAAATTGAGGTCGCAGACACCTGTCAGGGATTTAAAAAAAAAAAAAAGGAGATTAATATATTGTTTAGACTCTTGGTTTATAACCAGTTCTACTGGAAAAGAGGAACAAGGTGCAATATTGAAGATAATCAGTAACGGTGGGCTTACTGAAATGACTCTGTCAGACGTGCTGAGGTGTTCTAAGGCAAAAAGGCGGAGTACATTACCACAATCTCCTCCCGCTGCAACTGTCGAGTTGTAAAAAAAAAAAAAAGAAAAAAAAAGAAATGATATCCCATGCAGCATTGTAGCCAATTTCAATGTTGTTGTTTGTTGTGAATACTGATCTTTATCGCTAACCTCATAACTGAGGCACTTTCATGTATCGGGATCAGTCATCCGTAGTGATAAAGAGGAAATGGGACCTGGCAGAACAATGAGACTTAATGTTGCACGTCTTGTTTTAATTTAAAGTGAGTTTTTTTAGGGTTGTTTTGTGAAGGAATCGTCCTGTGAGTATTTTTTTAAGTTAAAAAAGGAGCACATTGAGCTCACATGCATCGGTGTAACCCTAACATCCATGTGGCTTCACTGGATGCAGTGTGAGTGTGTGTGTGGGCTGCTCAGACAAAAGAAACTCCGTCCGTCTGTCCGTCTGTCTCATCCCCTCTGACCTCAGCTGTGTCAAACTCTCTCTCATCTCCATCATCGATCTCATGTCTGAAAACACACTGTCTGAAAAGAAGCAAGAGACAATCTTTGAAAAAGATGTAATCACATCACAGTTTACTCTCCCAGTTTTCTGCTATGGTGTGTGTTGGTGCGTGTGTGTGAGCATGTGTGTATGTGTGTATGTGTGTGTGTGGTCTGAGGGCACACAAGAGTACTCAAAGCAGATCTAGAGCACAGTCTCACAACAGACACTTTTAATGGTGAGTCACTCGGCACAAAAACATGTGGTGTAAGTGTGTGTATGTGTGTGTTTTTATTCCTTTGTGTTGTTGTTGATGGCGTAAGTGTTGTTATTGACAGTATGTTGATTTTTTTCTGTTGGTGTATAAGTGGAGTGACCCAGTTTGTAAGACATCAATCTGTGAAAGATTTAATTCAGTAGGCTGAAACATTCCAAACAAGGACAATGACTCTTCGAGCAGCCGAGAAAGCGGCTCACACCTTATTGATGATTTGTCAAAGTTTAGAGAGATATATTTCTGTATTTATCACAGATCAAATTTATCAGTTATTTATCATGAATCAGTCTATTCCTCACCACCACCAGGCCGCTCTAGAGTTGAATTTACATACTGACCATTTTACATTTTTATTCCCATGTCACGATTGGGCTGCATCACATTCACATTTAAATTCTTTTATCTATTGCAAGTTTGGAAGCACTTTATAGCTCAGGATTAAGGTAACATGACGCAGTGATTTGTGTGTGTCTTTACCTCATTTGGAACATACTGAGAAGTGATTATAACAAAGGACAGAAGCAGAGCTCAATCTGCTTTATTGATTACTTTAAAAAAGAAAATCAAACAGCTCCTGTCTGAAAGCTTTACTGGAGCTCAGAGTGAACTCATCACAGAGGGGTGTTTCTCAGAAAAGCAGGTCTCACGTTGAAAAGTCTGTCTTGAATCAGCCAAACAAACAGAACCAGGATGAATCTGTTTCATGAAGCTGGTTTGGAGCCAAATCTGGTTTCTTTAATGACGATCAGAGGGGTCCGTCACCTGAATCTGCTGCTCCGCTCAGCTTTACTGTTTTGGTTCATTATTGCTGCTCTCATGTTGTATTCATATCAAATGTGTTGCGAATTTTCACGTCACATTACTCACACAAGTTTGAACACTAGAATATTTTGTGTTGACTCGCTTCATTCACGTGAATAACTTGCGTCATACGCACATGAAATTGCTGAATCAATAAATTAGCTTCTGCTGGTACGTCCTCGGCATCGTACGTCCTTGGAGGATCTCAATACCAATTAGCTATCACGGCACAAATTGGTCCCTGATTTTTCAACTCTCACAAATAAGCATATGGTGCCACATGTTTAATTTGCACTGCTTAATTCGTGTATTCCATGTTATTTGCACTGACCGGTGGGAATTTGCATCTATTGGCGTCTTTATATTGACACAGCATCAGAGTCGTTCTCAACTAGGCCGACAGCAGGCGGCTGTTCTCAGTGAAAAAATCTCCAAAAACACACTGTACATTTCCTGCTCAGCACAAAACAGCAGACTACATAATGCCGCTGGGGGCACCCTCTAGTGCAGTGGTTCCCAATTTGTGTTTAGTGGTCCAAAAGTGGGACACAGGTCCATTCCAAATGGGCCAGGAGTGATTCGCAAATGTGTCAAGTTTGCAAAGAACACACTGTATTTTAAAGTACAATAAATTTCTGGCACAGTAGAGTGAGGGAATAACAGACAGTTACTTAACAGAGACGGCAAATTAGCTCAATGTCACGGCCAAATGCAAGTCTGATGTTGAATATATTAAACTGTGTGGACCTTGAACTGATAACTAAAGAGAAATCTGAATCCATTGCTGGATCAGTTGGGAACCACTGCTCTAGTCTGTTAAGCCAACTCCAATGTAAACCCATTTGCGTCGCTATTAGAGCCCTGAGCCAACGTTTGGTTGTTTGTTGGCATCGTCCATCGGTGAACATCTTTCACCCTAGTTTTGAGGTGTGTCCAGCACTGTTGGCACTTCTTGGCCTTTTTTTTTTTTTTGGGCCAATCCAGCATGTTCAATTGACATCTGAGATGGTGGAGCCCATCGCTGAATCAAATCACTCTGATTGGCAGTTCTGTTCAGTGCACGAGAGGAAAAACGAAAGTGAGGAAGGCAAACAAACGGCTAAACAAACTTGTTTTATAGGTAAGATTATGTTTTTAGCCACTGAGCTCTAGCAGAAACAGTTTGTAACTGTTTTTAATGCTCACTGGTGGACAGTAAATATACTCTGTTCTTGCGGCATCAAATTTTAATGTGCAAACTGGCTAACCAGTGTCCTGAATCTGGTATCATTTCCTCTCACACATGCGCAGAATATACTTGCTATAGTCTTTGCGGTGTGTTCTGGTGCCACTTTTTGCCACAAGTTCTTTGACGCTGGTTTGGTGTGTCTGGGCTTTTAGATATTCAGAGCAATGGATGCCGTATAAAGAGCACAAAAGTCCATGTAGGGAGACGGGTCCAACAAGCACAGGACTTTGACCCGGAAGACTGGTGTTGGTGTCATGTGTAAAACTAAAAGTCAGTGTTGAGCTATTTTGTCACATTAGTTGCTAGTCTTGCAAGCTGACTGATGTGACTGTCATCAACCACAGTCTTCTCCTAAGCCTAACCAAGTAGTTTTGTTGCCTAAACCTAACTGCCAACCCCCTCTGCATCGAGATCAACCGACTCCTTCTGTGTCACGATACAAAACACTGCCCCCTGCATCATTATAGTGACCCTTGGTATCAAAATATGACGTGTAGGGATGAGATCACAACGTACTTGATTTGTGCAAGTGATGCAACATCTTTAATTTAGTTGCAGTGCATTTAGAAGCACACTTAGTGACTCATTGAATAACAAAAGATATTAGGTCACATTTTAATTGTGTCATTAAGTGCATCCCGTTTCTGTGACCTACATTTTTAATGCAGTGCAAGCAGACTCCTGCTCACAGTGCAGCAGTAAGGAGGAACCTTCAGGTAGGAAGCTTTGATAGAACGGCATGTTTCAGTCTGCCAAAGCTGACACCTGAACCAGGCTGGTCTGAAGCCTCCATGGTAACGTAGGTCTAATTGAACCTCCTTCATGAAACAGAATGACGGTTTAGAATAAGCCTGCTTTGACTGTTTGATGAAACACCCCTCTGGACTCAAACAGACGTAATCATAGATGTACGTGGGACCTGAGTCCTCACACATGTCTTCCTCGTCTCCTCCAACCTGCTCGTTTGTTAACTGCAGCCATAGCAGATCCTCTACACTTCACGTCGAACTCAGTGATGCCACGTCGTCCCATTTTTCAACTGACCAACCAAACATTAGCTTGCAGATCTGTAAACTGTCTTAAAGTCTACGCTGAGCAACATTTGTGCTGGAGTTAACTGTGATCAACGACAACCACTTGTTGTCATGTTGTTGTTTTGTTTTTTTCTAATAACGCCCAATGGATTTTCTCTTTGTATTGACTGGACAATGTAATCTATTGGTGTTGATTAAAATGCCCTGGTAGCTTGTGGATTGCTAAAGTGGTCAGATAAATGTACTGTATAGCTGTACAAAGAGTGATAAAGATGTTTTAAACCTTTTTTCTGTGGGTACAGCACTGTTTAAAAAAAAATCAAAGTGGTTTTAGCCCTTGCTTGTTTTAACTTATCATTTGGTGGTGGTCTGTATTACTTCTATTGTTATTTATATTATTTCAATTGTTGCCTCTCCTGCACTGATAAGAGACTGTAGCTCTGTGCAGGAGGTTGTACTGTAAACCTGTGTGAAGCTTTGTATTTCTTCCCCTCTGGTTTTGGACTCAGTGAAAGTGTGATGTTTACATGTACAGTTTTTCAGAATACTTTTGCGTTTTATTCAGGCTATAGTTTCTTTTTCCGCACCTATTCCCCCGAATCTGTGTACATTTGCCCAGATATTTTTCCTTCTGTTGTTTCATTGCATCAAAGTGCAGACGTGACCTCTTTGACTACTTGGTCACACGGTCATGAAGTGTGCCGTGACAGCTGGTTGTGGTCGGCTCGGTGTTGTGGTGGCTTCCAGCATTTACAAAAAAGAAAAAAAAAAAAGAAGGTAAATCTTAAGTAAAAAAGGGAGCTTCACAACTTCTCAAAGTGGACCAGCAAAGATTTATTAAGGATCAACTTCAATCAACTGTTTTAGAAAACTATTGTGGCCTAAATGGAGATCGGTGGGGTGTAGGTACATTTATTATTCCACGTTAAGTGCTCAGAATCTTTCAATATCCCGGCCGTATTGTCAGGGAAAACTCCTTGTCCTTAACACGACTGGTACCCTGAAAGGTACACTTTGACCTGTTGTAATATCTCCTCGGTAACATAAAAGCCATTCCCCTCTCCTGGCCTTTTTAAGGGGAACCCATAAACCTCAGGAAATACTGAATCTCCAAGTTTAGTTTTTATCCACTGATTTCTTCTGAAATGAGATTTAAATCTCTTAACGAAAAAAAAACCCATTAACATTTATATGAGATGTCTATTGTTTTGTACATTTATCATTGTGATTTAAAAGTGGAGCTTTTTTCCAGTATCTGTGACTTAATATTTTAATTTTCGTTTCTTTCTTTCTTTTTTTTTTTTTTTTTGGAGTGTTTATAGGTATGGATATTTATTATTCTATGTGAAACAAAAAGACAAAAGAAAAGGTTGAACCTGTTTCATTTGTATGTTTCATGCAAAACTGTCCAGGTGAGATTCTCTCTGCCTCTTACATATCACTGATGAGGGACCTGTGTTTGTTTGGAAATAGCGCTTTTTCAGTGTTGCATCAACGCTATGAAATAAAAAATGAAAAAAAAAGAAAAAAAAAACACACCAGTGGTTTACCAACAGCAGAGTTGCAAAGCTCTCCTCTTCTCCTGAGATGTCAGTAATTGAATAAAATAGTGCGATGAGCTATCTAACTGAGACCTTGCCTGTTGTTTGCTTTTGTCTTTTATTTCTGTATCAAAAACATTTTCAGCTCATATTTATGGTTTTTAGTGAGTGAAGTTCTTCATACACAAACAGTGTTGGGGAGTAGTTCACTACATGTAGTTTATCACTAGTTTAACTACATTTTGTAGTATTTGAGTGGTAGTTTAATCACATTAAAATCTCAGTTAGCAGTAGTTCACTACTTTGGGTAATGTAGTTAATCACAAACTACATATTCATATTTCTACATATTTTCATGACATCTTCTGCCATATAATCATGGACGGATTATGACACAACGGGCCTCTGGGCTCATCAAAAGGCCCCACCACCACTCACACACATGCAGGAACAAGAAACACAGACAATGGTGGTTTTGCCCCTTTTTCTTCTTGATGATGTTTGCATCTCTTTTAGGTTGTGTTTTTTGTCTGTGTATCTTTGTAATAATTATGTGTAGCCATTTTGTGTTTCCTGGTGGTTGTTTCAGTCTCTTGATGCTCACTTTGTCTCTTTGTAGTCATGCTGTGTCTCCTTGTGGGTTTTTTGCGTTTCTTTTTGGTCTTTTTTGTCTGTTTGTGGCTGTTTTGCATCACTTTTTAAATCTTTGTGTCTCCCAGGGATTTCTTTTTGTATTTATTTTTGTTTCTTTTAGTGCCTCTGTTCTTGTGTTGCATTTCTTTTTTGTTTTTTTGTTTCTGTTTGCATTTGTTTAGTCTGTGTCTCTTTGGGGTTTCTTTTTTTTATTTGGTCTTCTTGTGTCTCTGTTCTTGTGTGTAGGCTATTTCTTTTTAGTCTTTGTGTCTCTTCGTGTGTTTTTTTTTGTATTTTCTTTTTGTCTTTTTGTGGTTGTGTTGCATTTCTTTTTGGTCTTTATTTGTCTGTTTGGGGTTGTTTTGCATTACTTTTTAAATCTTTTGTGTGTCTTTGTAGTTTTTTTTTTAAATTTATTTTTGGTCATTTTGTACCTGTTCTTGCGTTTGTGGTTTGTGGTTGTTTTGCATTTATTGTTGGTCTTCGTCTCTCTTTGTGTTTTTTGCATTACCTTTTTATCTTTCTGTTTCCATTTGCAGTTGTTTTGCATTACTTTTTTAATCTTTTTGTGTGTCTTTGTAGTTTCTTTTTTATTTGTAGGTTTTATTTATTTATTTTTGGTCCTTTTGTGTCTTTGTTGTTGTGTTGCCTTTCTTGTTGGTCTTTTTTGTCTCTTTGTGGTTGTTCTGTATTTCCTTTTGGTCTTTTTATGTCTTTATTTGAGAAACATTTTGCAGGCGAAAGTCAGAGGGGCCCCTGGCAATCTGAGACCCTGAGCCCAGTAGGCTTGTCCAGTAACCCTTCCATGCATACATATACTGTGTGGCACAATGTCACAGCTTAATGGCCATGGTTGTCATTCAGCAATAATCCCCTGCTGTTTGACTAAAATCACCTCTGGTTTGCAACCAGGATGTCTGCAGTCGAATACTAGGCCTATGAATTTCCACAAAAGTTGAGCATTTTCCTGATTACACCTCAACAACTGCTCCTCATCCTCTCCTTAAAACACATCCTCAACTTGGGCTGTGGTGAGTAAGGGTCTGCCCCGGTCCACCTACACTTTACTCAGTGTCAGTTCAGTTATACCTTCATGTAACAATATGAGCTTCCACACTCAAGACTGTGATCATTTACTGAGAGATGTAGTTTAATTACTTTTCATTTTGAGTAGCCACTTGTACACTGCACTTTTAATGTAGTTCCCACTACTGCCACAAGAGGTCAGCAGAAAGCAGCAGGAGAAAAGTTGGTTCAGAGCATTCAGACCACTTCACTCTTCAACGTCATGGTACAACCTTCTGCTTAAGTCATTTTTACTGTCATCACTTGACATTAATACCCCATAATGACTAAGCAAACACAGGATTTTAGAATTTCGTTTGCAAGTTTATTGAAAAAACAAATCAGAAAATATCACACTGACTCTGGATTGCTGCCACCATCATGCTTCACTGTGGGGATGGTGCAGGCAGGTGATGAGTGGTGCTTGGTTTTCTTCAGACATGATGCTTAGAATTGAGGCTACACTGTTCAGTCTTCATCAGACCAGAGAGTCTTCAAGCCCACATCAGTGGAGGGTTTGGTGATGGTTATCTTTCTGAAAGTTTCTTCACACACCCTCACAGGATTTCTGCTCAGCCAGAGTGACCATCAGGTTCTTTGTCACCTCAGCCCTTCTCCTCTGATTGCTCAGTATTGCCAGGCTCTGAGAAGAGTCCTGGTTGTTCTGAGTGTCTTCAGTTAAAGAACGATGAGGCCTCTGTGCTCTTGTGAACCTAAAATAAACCATGCCCAGATCTTTGCCTCAACACAACCCTGTCTCTGAGCTCTGCAGGCAGTCCTTCGACCGCACGGCTTGTCTTAGTTCCGACATGAACTGTGAGCTGTGAGACCTTTATATAGACAGGTGTGTGCTTCTCCAAATCATCTCCAATCAGCTGAATTTACCACAGGTGGGCTCTAAACAAGGTACAGAAACACCTGAGAGATGATCAAGAGAAATGAGAGGCACCTGTGTCTGAATACCTGCGTCAATGTGATATTTCAGGTTTTTTCTTTTTAATAAATTTGCAAACATTTCTAAAATCCTGTTTTTTTTAATTGATTAAAGCTAAATACATAGAACAAAGGGGACGACTTGTGTCCTTCCTCATTCCGCATGTCACCTTTCCTTGGAATTCATATGTAGCCTACAGGCTGATAGCATAAGCTTAACAACATGGATAGAAAAGAGCCACACAGGTTAATTACAAAACAGGATATAAAGATAGTAATTCATAAAAATGTGTGTCTATTCACATAAGCTACATATCCATACAAATACACTTAACATGCAGGTATAATGAAAGGGGAAACTGTCATACAGAACGTAGGCTGAACACATTGTACGTGTGTGATGTGATTCAGACTACACCTTAACTTATTAACTCTCAAAGAGTCTCACAAAGTCCATTGCTCATACCATTCAAACAGTGGTAACATACTGTACTGATGACTAACAGGGATAATGACTGCCATGTTCACCATCTTAGTTTAGCATGCTAAACACTGCACGTTTTGCAGGTTTTGGATCACACATCAAACCATTTTGTCCCCATGGCGTTGCTAGAGATAAAATTACATGTTCGGTTATTATGTCCAGGGGGTGGTCATGCACTTGAAAACCAACGTTTTGGCTTAGCTCACGTTGGGTCAGGGAAAGTTGTCAGCTGTTGTCAAAAACAGATTCTCATGTGAGAAAGTGAACACTGTGTTCCAGCCAGGTTTCTGCAGACCAAAGTCAATATTCTCACACAGTGAAAATACACCAACAGCGACCTGATTTTTCCTCTTGTTTACATGCTTCTAAAACTCTTGCCAACTGTACAATTTCAGATGCAGTTACAATTATTGCTTAAATACATATTTTGAAAGTAAATTTTACAGTCATTTCTTATCACCAGTTGTGGAGAAAGTATTTATTTCTTTTACTTACAGTAAAAAAGTAAAACAACACTGTGGTAATACAGTGGTGTAGTGTGTAGGATTAAGTGGCATCTAGTGGTGACTTTGAACATAAACTTGTCTCGTGTGCCAAGTGTGTAAGAGAGCTACAGTGACATGACAACACGTGTGGCCCTATCTGGAGCCAGTGTGTGGGTTGTATGTTCTGGGCTATTGTAGAACAACATGGTGTACTTTGTGGAAGAGGAGCTGCTCTTTATGTAGATAGAAATGACTCATTATGAAGTAACAAAAACACAATAATTCTTATTTTCAGGTGATAATAAACTAATAAAAACATTATGAATATTATACAGCATTTCTGTCCAAAGATGCCACAAAAGCACAAGTATAAATCCTGCTTAAATCCTGCACACTGGACCTTTAAAAGGAGGCTACTGAGAATAAAATGCAAAAAGAAAGGCTCCTGTGAGGGTTGTTAGTATATTGATTATGATATATTGGATCATTATTACTACCAGCTGCAGCTGCCAAATACATGCAGTGGAATAAAATACAATATTTCACTCTGAAATGTTGTGAATTATAACTGTAGAGTAGCAACAAATAAAAATATACAAGAAGGACCTCAAATGACTTATGTACAGTATCTGAGTAAATGTATTAATTACATTCACC